TCTTTAGTGAAAGCTGTGGTCATTTGATTTGGTGTGATCTAGTCACCATTCCAACCCATCCAAGCTAATGTTAAAGTCAGAACACTTCTTGTGATAACCTTTTGTGTGTGTGTGTCTGACCTACTGTTTTTTTTTTCTTATCTTCCTGCCCAGCAGACAGATCCACAGGGTAATCCAGTTAGCATGACCGTTCCTCATGTCCAGCTCATCAATCCAGAGAACCAGATTGTTGAGGTGAGTGAATTATTCACCTACTTGAACCAAAATGTGGTCAGCTAATGAATTTTTCTGATAGCATTGGAAAAACGGTTTAGCCAGACTGGTGATACCTTAATAACTGACTTACTAAGTCACCATGGCCACCTGGCACATGAATCTGTGCCACCCAGCCATAATAGTCTGTTGGTGTGAACTTTTACTACGGCTTTTAGACTGATGATAGGAGACACACACACACACACACATGTTCAAAACACAACCAGAGGCTTCAAGCTGAATCACAAAAGGCTCGTGGAATAAAATAAAGTATCAGTACTGCATTGCAGCAGGGATTGCAATAGAAGAGAGGTGTGTACTGTAAAATCTCACGAACAAAGTGAATTACAGTGGGGAAGCTGGGACAAACTGCTGATACAGTCCATATGACAATTTTGCAGTTAATTCCACTCTTGTTTTGGACTGTGAGAGAGTGTATGAGGAAACAGAGATGGATTGGATTTAAACTTGCACTGAGGCATTAACGTCTGAAACAAATTTTCCCAGAAATAAAAAATAATAATAATAATAATTTTATATTTTCACATTTTCAGCCGGATGGCAGCATGACACTGGACAGTGATGAAGGAGAGGAACCATCTCCTGAGGCCATGGCTCGCTACCTCTCAATGAGGCGGCACACTGTGGGTGTACCAGACCAAAGGTACCAGCTGCAGCTTGACATGTTAGAATAATGTCCCTTATGATGTAATGTTTATTTATCAGAAGTTGATGAAAGGCAGTTTTTTTGACTCCACCACCTTTCAATTTTGTCTCAACTCACCACAGGACAGAGATGCAGGAGGACCTGCAGAAACTACCACCAGGTTTCCCCCGTGGTGTAGTGCCCCAGCCCCCGTTCCCACCCTTGGTGCCCACAATGGGCCAAATGCATACACTCATGCCAACACAGAGCCTGCAGCCCACACAGCAACTGGAATACAAGGTGCAGTAGTTGGACTCACAGTATTAAGACTTGCTTTTAGTTCTAAATGTCAGCTTTCAACGACTATATTTTGACTGACATTTTGTTCATGTCAATCCCACAGGAACAGTCGTTGCTACAGCCACCCACCCTGCAGCTTCTCAACGGCATGGGTCCGTTAGGTCGACGAGCGTCCGATGGAGGGGCTAACATACAACTACACGCTCAGCTGCTCAAGAGGCCCAGAGGGCCTTCACCACTGGTTGCTAGTCCGGTGAGTTAGGATGTAATTTTAATTTGCTGGGTTTCACTTTGTAGAATCATGATATCTCAAATGTTCACTTTTTCCAGCACCCAATCCCTGCAGTCGCCCCAGTGGATGAGGAGGGATCAGACGGAGAGCCGGACCAGGAGGCGGTTCAGAGGTAACACATGGTGATGGGTTTCGGTGATGGAATATTTTGGACAAAGGTGCTGCTTAAACTGTGATCTCCTGGAAGCCCAAAAAACCTGTGACAATTGCACAAGTCAAGTAATTTTACTTATTTAATTAACTCATTAAATAATTGGAATAGTTGGTGAAAGAAAGAAAGAATGTAACTGTATTAGCTTTAGGCTACAGGTCAAATTGATGTGTGGTA